CGGAGGGGCTCACAAGCGCAACCGATCGCAACCGCAACGGGTCGCGAGCGCAACGGCTCGCAAGCGCAACCGCGGGGAGCCACCTGTTAGACGGCATCGACTGTAGACGAAGCCAAGAGCGGGAGCGGAGCGCGCAGCGAGCCTGGTTGAGATATCAACCGAGCCTTTGGTCGCTGTGCTCTTCTTGTGTAGAATGCGGTACCTCTGAGACCCTTTTAAACGTTTCGACACCCGCACTGCGCCCGCGTTGGGTAAATAAGTAATTATAAATGGTGCTGAAGTGAGCTGGAAGTCGGTGTGCTTTGTGTCAACAACTCGAGCGCAAAAAATCTGCAGATTTTGTTTCCCGACTTCCACGTCACTTCAGCACCAATTATAATTATTCATTTACCACAAGAGTAATCGCTGCCGCGCCAACGCGGGCGAAGTGCGGGTGTCAAAACGTTTTAATGTGTCTGAGAGGTACCGCATTCTACACGAGAAGTGCACAGCGACCAAAGGCTCGGTTGATTTCTCGTCCAGAGGCTCGCTGCGCGCTCCGCTCCCGCTCCTGGCTTCGTCCACAGTCGATGCCGTCTAATAGGCGGATCCCTGCGGTTGCGCTTGTGAGCCGTTGCGGTTGTGATCGGTTGCGCTTGTGAGCTACGTCGACACTTAAAAAGGTCGCGGCTTGTACGCGTGGAGTTCACCACGACGCACAGAAAACGATCTAAAAGCGAACAAATCTTTTTGCGTCGGGGCGAAGACTACGGTTCTCGCGACGCAGCGAGTCGACGACCGGTGGCGCTGTCAAATCTGATAGGGCACTGTGCTGTGTCGCCCTTCCGTTACCAAATATTTTAATAGGCCATAAGTCGTAATTTAATGTTCCCTCTGCTAAACAAATAGAAACAAAATAAATAAATCATTGACATATTCTTGTAGTGCTTCTCACATTCCTGCCCATTCACAACTCAATCAAATTTTCACATTTTATCCTCACCTGTACAAAAGAAACTGCCACCGCTGAAAAATGCAGCGAGTTCAATACAACACTTCAAAGTTATTTTAAGCTCCCGTCGAGACGGACAAAATAACGCGTCAAGTGCAAGTAAGCACGTGCAGAGAAAGATGAAGGTCCAGGGTGGACCTCGTGTCGCGCCGGTCGCCTTTCAACGAATGAACGGCAGCGAACCGCCCCGAAGTTTGTGTTCCTTGTCTCGCACACCGTATCTCCAGCCAATGGAACTCGTGCCGCCATACCTCTCACGGGAGGGCCCCTTTCACCTTCCAGTTTTCAAATCCGTCGAGCCGAGCCAGGCCAAGCCGCCCCAAAATCAAAACAAACAAATGACTGTGGCTATCCACGGGGGCACAGCCTCCAGCACTCCAGCGACCCATACCTCCCTGTTTGTAATATTTTAGCCAGCCAGGTCTTCTATGTTTCAATTGAAGTGCCTGGTTTAGCATACAAACCACAATAAGTGTAATTTCTAATTTTCACCCAACTGGTTTCTATCTTGTTTTTAGTGTGTTTGATAGTAAAACATCTAGAAGCAGAAACTAAGTTACATATGTTATTGTTTACATATACACATACTCCACTTGGTTTTCTTGCATGGCCAGAATCAATTTTCTGTTGTAGCTTAAAATGTGGAATATCTATTTGATCATGAGAACTCATTCAGATCTCTCCAAAAAATAATAATCCTGAAGCTGTGAAGTTCTTATCATTGATGATCAGTTTCTGATGCTTTGGTAGAGATTGCACGTTGTGATACATGGCTATATACATATCAGACGATTTCATATTGCTAAAGACAGGTATAATGGAGTTTGTTTTCCATCGAGTCATCTCTAGTGACATGTGGTCATTTTGTTGCAATGGTTTTGTAGGTATAAAATTGCCAATGATGTATAATCCATCAATGGTAGTTGCTCTTGAACAAGCCACATACAATAGTTGTTTAGTCATTCTGTTTGAAAGATGTACCACTACTTGTTTCATAGTTTGACCCTGACTCTTAGGAATTGTGATAGCATGAGCTAATGTTAAAGCAAATTGCATTCTATTTACTTTGAGAGAGCAATTTTTCCTGGTTTTAATTTTTACTACTTTAGGATAAATTGGAGTCCATGACTGAGGAATTTTTCTTGCTTTCATTATATCTTTATGCTTGTGTCTAGCTTGCGTTCTCACATGCTGTTCATCAAATTTTATCCATACTCTTAATGGTTTCTTCTCGTGTTTTTCATTTTGTCCGAAATCCGAAATTTTCTTGAGTTTTCCGGTGGCGCCATTACATAGACCATCTTCAGTGTCTATATTGTATGTGATCATGTGTCTTGCTTTTACTTTAAATTGTACTATGGATGGCATTCCTACAGTATCCTGAATTTTACTGTTTGCAGTAGAGTATAGCAACTGACGTTTAGCTAGTTCTGATCCGTGACCTTCTAAGACATCTGAAGCTGTACATATATATTGAGGATTATCAATTTTCTTGATGGCTTCTTGATTGTAAGAATTGACGTCAACATTTCTTGCAAAAAGATGAATAGCGTTTTTCAAGCTTCTGTCCTGTGGAAGTTGGCGAAATGTTCTTAATTTAAGCAGTCTGATGTCATTTTCAGTCAAAGTACCACGAGCTAAGTGTTTAAGAGCCTTTAGGAAATTGACTTCATTCTGTCTCATAACTTTTTTCAGTTGAAAAGTTTTAAAGTTGCTCCATAAACTCTTGTTGAATATTTCATCGTATGGATTTTGCTGCTGACTATTAATTAGCGATCTTCTAAAAACTGGATTGAGTTGAAAGAAGTCACCAACAGCTAATACACTTACTCCTCCAAAAGGTTTTTTAGTTCCCTTTAAATGTTGTAGACGCTGGCTTACCATTTGCAAAATTTGTTGGCCTACCATTGAAATTTCATCTATTTTAATTAATTTCAAGCAACTTAGGGCACAAGCTAATGTATTGGACATGCTAGCAGACAATTCATCTAAACTTCCATTATTTGGTTGTAACTTAAATGCTGAGTGAATTGTCTGGCCATTTATGTTAAAAGCAGCTTTTCCAGTGGGTGCACATAAAATTATTTTAGGTTGTTCAGGATTGCAATATTTGTCACTGTTGAATAATCGATAAAGTGTTTGATATAAGGTGTTAATAACCATTGATTTTCCAACTCCAGCTCCACCTGTTAAAAAGTGGAATATTTGTTCATCTGATGTCTCAAAGTGATGAGCAACATGCATTACATAATCTCTCTGGTCCTGATTTAGTAACTCAAACATAGCTTGAAACTGCTCTTCAGGCAATTTTGTAGGTGCTACAAATCTGGTTTTGGTAACTTCTGTACTGTCAGGTAGTTGATTAAAATTATTTGAAGTTGTAGCATCATCCAATAATTTATAGTCGTTGAAATCAAATTTTGATGGAAGTGAGAAACTTTCACTTGTTTGTTCTGCATCATGATCTGACATCTCACAATCTTCCTCTTCTTCTCTATTGCTTGCTTATTCTAGAGCTAAATTTAAAGTATCATCATTGAAAGCATTAAACTGTTTCTTGATTAATTTGATTTGAGTAATATTTGTTGTAAATATTTCTTCCAAATCTTGTTGTATTATGTCTTCTAATACATTTCGCCATGGTAAGTAAAGCATGATATGTTCTCTCAAATAATGATCTGTATCTGTCTCATAAGTATAGTTTCTGAATCTTATTATCAATGGTTTTGAGCGTTTATAGATGTAACCACTTTTATCAAGTAAAGACAATCCCGATCCTGAGTTTGATTTACTTTAACGATACATGGCAGTAAATTCAGATAAGCTTAAATTATCCAAAGTATGTGGTCTTACTGAATAGTGTTGAAGTAGTCCACTTTCAAAAATATCTGTTGAGTTGTCTGGCAAACTTTCTAAATCTTGTCTAGATTTAACTAGTCTCACTCTTTCATTCGTGGGAAATGTAGGGCTGAATACACATTGTTCACTTGATTCTGACAAATGTAGTTGAAGTATATTGTAGTATTGGGGGTTACGGGAGAGCCAAGATCATGTGAACAGCAGAACTAATGAGTGGAAAATGGCGACGAGTCAAAGGCTCGCGCCTCTATCTATTCAGTGTTTGGCATAACAACAAGAAGAACAAGGCGATCGAAAATCAATTAAAGGTTCAGGGGTCTGAGTGTAGGTGTCGCCTCCATAGTGATCACTAGTGGCCGTGACTGAGGGTATTCTGCTGTAACCTGGTTAGGTTAATGTTACCATAATACTACACTACTCCCTTCTTTTTAGAACCCTTCCTAAAAATGCTCAGAAAATATTTACAATCACAAGAGCTTCGCCTTGAACTTCATACAATACTCTTGGACGTTAACGTACAAATTGATTGAACTAACTCTACTTTAAACATTGTTGATAAATAAATGAAACAATTCTAAATAATTTCAACTTTATTAAACCTGTGAACTTTCACTTTGCCAAACCTACGGCTTATTCAAACCTACTAGTCTGGCTCGGTGTGCAAACAAAAAGAAGTTGACTTCCCTCTAGCATGTAGCAATGCATTAGTATGATTCCTTGCCGGACCACTAATCAACTTGCTATCAATAGTAGTTTAAAAATCCATTCAGGAGATCAACCAGTTCCATGCCTTTAAAATTCAAATTAATCTTGATGTGAACTTGCTGTG